ACTCTCATGTTGTTGATGTCTGGAGCTTCTTCAATTATTGTGACTTTCATGTCAAATATCTTAGGAAATTACCTAAGAATATTTCTGACCAACTTGGCTTCTGGCATCTTCTCTCCCAATGCACTTGATGCACTAGAAATTTCAAGAATCTTCATTGGAAATTCTTAAATTGTCTCATCATCATTCATCTTTAAGTTCTCATATTCGGAATTGAGAAGCTGAAGTCTTGAGATCTTCACCTTAGAGGTACCTTCATATGTTGTCTTGAGAATTTACCAAGCCTCCTTGGCCACTGTACACATATTAATCAGCCTGAAAACATTTTTGTCTACTCCATTGAATAGAGCATTTAAAGCCTTAGAATTTCTAATAGCTTCTTTATCATCATCTTCATTCCACTCTTCTTCAGGTTTGATTGGGTCAGTTTCAACCTCTTTTCCATCTTTGTTAGTGATCTTCATAACAGGATGCTTCCATCCTTTCAAGACAGCCTTCCAAGCTTTGTTGTCCATAAATTTTAGAAAAGGTATCATTCGAACTTTCCACCAGTCATAATTAGAACCATCCAACATGGGTAGTATGTTTTTATAACCTCCTTCTTTCTCCATAGTGTCAAAAATATATATCTCTGAATCTCACCCAATAATCAGAATCGGGTACCCGCTCTGATACCAGTTGAAATTCTAGCACACATACAATATCAAAAGTTAAGACTGGTGTCTTAACAACACACAATCATAATGTCACAATAGATGTTATGACATCTGCTGACAGAACAACAAAAATAAAAACATGGCAGAATTATAACTTGGAGAAAAAGAAAGAATCCAACAATATGTTAACTCATTTCGGTGCAACTCTCATACTCTGGAGGCTACCAAGCCAGGAAGAAAATCCACTATCAGTAATACTAGTTCGAAGCTGAACTCCCCCATCTACAACTTCTCACCTAATCCCTACCCAATGCAATCACCACCCCACTTCCAATCACCGCGGTGATAAAAGACCTATCTCAATACAGGGTATGTCTATCAACAAGTTATAGTCACAATAACTTGAACAAATAAAACAGGAAGAGACACTTCCAAATTACAAATACTGGGTCTTGCTTAAAATCTTCGACCAAGAATAATACTCAACTCGTACCTACGAGCTTTGAGTGAGAACAATAGCTTGATGAATAAGCAACAATCAATAAACTCAAATGTATCAGAGATACATGAGGATGTACAAAAACAAATAGAGAACCTAAGGAACTATCAACCCTAAACCCTTATTTTTCACAAGGTTTTACAATAAAAACTATTCTTAAAAACTAGGTCTTGGACGACTCCTTAAATAGTCTTCTATAGTTGGGCTTAGACTCTTCAATCAAATCCAATCAGCAACTCCCAAAAACATACATAATCTTTCTCCACAAAAATAGAAACAATTTTCATAAAAAGTTTCCTAAAAAGTCTCAATCGATCCTTTTTAGTAACCAATCAAATTTGCACTTGTTTATGATAAAATCCTTGATTGGCATGCGCCTATAACGAGTACAAAATATTCTAGATACTCATATCTTCAAATTAAATCTTCAAGGATAAAATATCCAGCGCACTGTCAAGATGTTATGTTGTAACAAGTTATAACATCTACTAGAACATCTATCAAATAAGGCACCTGCAGAACCTGCTTATACCTACTAATTCAAATGTTATGACATCGTCTTCAACATCTGGTAGTAAAACACATAACATATGGAACTACTATAATAGTTGATATAGATGTTGCACCATCTTACTAACACCAACATATAACCATGCTTAGCCAAAATTTAGCCAACAATAAAAACATGGAACTAACAATAACAACAATTAATAAATATACCTCTTCCGCTCAAACATGAGGAGCAATATGGTCTCATAATATATCAGTAATGAGATGTTAACGGGCCCTCCTAGACAGGGTTCTGCAAGTGGAGGGAGGTCATCACGTGCAGAAAGGGCTTCCTCCCGGTGTACGTGAGCCTGGGATGAAGACCCCTGTGATAGGAGGCTCCTAGAAGAGAACGCTTCCCCGTTATGAGGCTTAGAGGCGGGGAACCGCATAACTCTGGCATGCTAAGGTAAACTATTTTATCTAATCCATTCATCAAAAGTCTAAAAAGTTAAATGAGGAATTTACTCAAAAAGTGTTGATGAGGATGGATAATTTTTATTGTAGTATGTGGAGTGAGTTGAGATTGGTAAGATTGAAGTAGACGTTCTTTTGTTGCTTGAAAGATATACTAGAACAATGTTACTCACGAGCTCTAATGAGGTAAGAAAAATATTAAGCAAAATGAAGAAGGAGAAAAAGAAGGGTCTGAGTGCATTATATATAGATTAAAAACTTTCAAAGATGCATCTCCAAAAATTTCCTTTAATTTGAAAACAAAAGTTAATTTGGAGATATATCTGCAAAAAAACTCTGAAGCACATTCGGAGATGCATCTCCGAATTAAAGTTTGGCAAAGTGAGGGGTGCTCAACAACTAGCACTTATTTTGTGTGAAAATGGTGCATCCGAAGATTTATTTCTGAATTTAGCAGAATTTTTAAATTTTTCACCAGAAGTTTAAGAAAACATACAAGAGTGGAAAAACAAATTACCAATTATAATTTACCCTTTTATTTTCATGTCATTTCAGGACCTCTGACCATTTGTCTAATGCTCATAATTCTATGGGGAGCAAACCTCTTTTTCTTTTTTAATTTTAAGTTAAATATATTTTTGATCTTCTTAAATATCTCATACTTAATTTTTAGTCCTTCTAAAATTTTTCTTTAAAGAATGATCCTCCTAAAAATTTTAATTTTAATTTTTGGTCCCTCATGACAAAATCGTCACCAAATAAAAAACCGTCACTAATTATGTCGCTAAATTATAAAAACCGTTGCTAAAATATAAACACTAATATATATATTAATGTCATGCTAACAGTGGTGGAGCCAGAAATATTATAAAGCCTGGGCGAAAAATTAAAGATCGCAAATTCACGTTGTATATAATATATAAATACTCATCAATCAAAATAACAGAGACTCGCCATTTTGTCCACAAAAATATAGTTTAAAATAAAAGAGACAAATATAACCTTACAATAGCGGGTTAAATAAAATTACGAGGCAAATGTCCTTTCCGAGACTTTTTTGCGGTGAATGTTCGAATAATATCAATATCATTAAGTGATTTGAATATCTCCCGCTCAGTGTAACATACCATCAAGTCATTGAACCACACATCATTGATCTTATTGCGCAATTTAGACTTGATAATCTTCATTGCTGAAAAAGCTCTTTCAACGGATGCTGTCGACACCGGCAATATCAAAACTAACTCAATAAGTTTATAAGCCAATGGAAATACTAAATGTTTCTCAGTTTGAACCATCTTCATAGCCAAACTTTAAACATCTTCACAAGTGGAAAATGAAGCATTTTTTCTCACTTGAAGAACATAAGTCTCAAGTTGATCCCTTATTGTTCCTCGGTCATCATCAGAAAAGTCTACACGATAAATATCCGCAAGACGAGCAAGCTTATCAACATTAAACTTGGAGAAAGAGTTTTTGGGATCAAGACATGAAAAACAATTAAGGATAATGTTACTTTCTTCACTAAAGCGATGATCCATCTCCACACATATTTTGTCAATAGCAACATAATAAATCTCTGCACGGTAATGATGAAGATTAGTGACAGTCCTCCCTTCTACCCTTGAATGACCCCGAACCGGTATTTCATCATCCATATTTGGAACTGGAATACCTTTAGCAACACAAAAATCTTGGACATCAGAAAATAAATTATCCCAACCACTCTCTCTCGTTGTGGCCAATCGAGCTTTGACATCATCAACTAATTCCATGGCAATCACAATATTAAGATCTTTTCTTTGCAAGACATTTGAAAGCTCGTTTGTGATACCAAACAACTTTAACATTAATTTCAAAATGAAAGCAAATTTAAAGCTCTCCATTTTTTCTATCAAACCCGCTGCTTGAGATGGTCCACGTCCATCTTCATCAACCATACTAAGCACCTTTAACACAGAGGGCCACATTTGATCCAAACGAAGCAATGTAGTATGATGTGAACCCCATCTAGTATCCCCAGGTCTTATGAGATTAGATGATTGGTGCAAGCCCTTTCCTCTAGATATCTCACCACTCTCAAGTTTATTTAAAATATCTTGGTGTTGTGCCTCTATCAAAGCATCCCTCCAGTTGCGTGGGTTTTGGTATTTTTAATATTGGATGATAAACCGGAAGATGATGTATCGACCAATTCAATTATTTAAAGGTGAACATTCTATTACTTGCGAAAATGTCGAATCAATTTGATTAGAAAAAAATTGATTATGTACAAGTGCGATGAACTAAATGATTTAATCTAAAAAGTTGACCGAATTAATATAAGTTATATTACTAAATTAATCATTCCTATAAAAAAATAATATTAAGAAAATTAATTAACCTAATAAAAACTACCTAACCTAATAAAAAATAGAATAAATGGAATAGGAGTGTAGAATTGGAGATGGGGTGTGAATCAGCAAAAAGATAGAAATTATGGCCCAAGAGCCCAAGTTTAGTTAAACCTAAGTCTAATCAATAATTGTTATTATTTAAAAGAAGAAGAAAAAAAATGGGACAATGAATATAGACAATGGGTGGTGACTCTCTACTGTTGTCGACCGAAAATTTAAGAGGAAAGGAAATCAATTGACTTTTCAACAAACAGGGAGCTATCATAGAATGACACGTGGCAGAGTAAGAAAATACACTAAAATAAAAACCTTTGTATATTACTAAGAGAGAGACATAACGGTCTAGATCCAATCTCCTCATCTCATCTTTTCTTCCTTCTTGTTTTTTTACCGCACCCTAAATTGCTTAGCATAACCTGTACAATCAACACAAAGGGAAAACAAATACAAAAAATTAGTCAGCAAAAAAAAAAAACGGATCTCTCAATGAGGAATTCGATGGCGGAGCAACTGCCAGTATCGCGGTCGATTTCGGTTTTACGAGGCGTGCGGCGGACGACGGTGGGATACGGCATCAGAGGTCTCGGTCCGGTGGAGGATGTCGCGGGTGGGTAATGGCGGCGGATTTCGCGGAGAGGCGTTTAGTTCTGTGGGTTACAGTTTTGCTCGTAGGAGGGAGATTGTCGTGAAGAGTTGTATTTATGGCGATGTCGAATGTAGCAGATCCGCAACACGAGCCTGGGCATTTGCCCAAGCTGACCGTATGCTGTATCCGCCTGTGCATGCTAACCTGTATTTTTAGAACACGTGGTAAAGATATTATAATTAAAAAAAATTTAAATATAATAAAATAATATTTAAAATTTCAAAAATTTAATGCAACTACTTCAAAAAAAAAAAATTTACTACAAATAATTTATTAACATATGTATTTAAGGGTAGGTATTAGCATTTTCTATATAGTTGTTAAGATAAGATTATGATTAAGATAATAACTATTTGGCGTTGGAAACATAGCTGACACATTCAAACAAAAATATTATAGGAATTGTTCAGAAGAAGAAGCTCTTAAGAATTCGTTGGTTGCAAGAAGCTCCTCTGGATTCTAATTCTGGTAATAACTTGATCAATTGCTAATTTTGTCTGCATATATTTCAAATCACTTCTCATATTTGTTTATCTAAAACTCAAATTGTTACTTGGAGATTGAGTAATCTATCACACTTTTTTTCAATTTCTCAATTCCTGCAATTAACCACTTCACACCACTTTTATTAGGGCTCTAAGTGTGTGTTTGGTTCTGCTGTGACAATAGTTGATTTTTAATGAATTGGTTATATAAAATTGATTATAGATCAAAGTAAGTTAAAGATAAAGTGATCTATGTTTAGATAAATTTATGTAGAATTGAGTTTGAATTGTAAATATCAATATAAAAATCATGTTCAAATTCAAAAGTTACAAATTCTAATTTTAAGTAAAATCAATTCTACTTTAGAAGAATCAAACACCTCAAATTCATTCAAAAATCAATTCTACACCTCTAGAATTTCTTTTGCCTCTTCCAGAAGTTAAACCAAAAATACACTAAATGGAATATCACTCTTAATTTAACACAAGATGTTAGAAAGTGGAAAATTTCTTAATGTCAATTGTGTAAGAATGTTCAACTTCAACCATGTCAGTGTCAGTGTTTCCATGTTTACCCATTTCGCTTGACTTGAGCTCTAGGTTTTGTCTAGGTTGCTCTTCACTTGATCAAAGTTCAGATTTTTTTTTAGTTCATGCCATTAGACTTTTAAGTTTTGGTTGTCTATTCATTTTAACACTGGGTGTATTGCAGGCACTTGGAATTCATAATGGCTGGGCAGCAACTGAGCAATGCTTTTGATTCTTCCTCTGCGCCGTCTTTGAAAAAATACGATGTTTTTCTTAGCTTTCGAGGTGAGGATACTCGCAAAAACATCATAAGCCATCTTTATGACGCTTTGAGTCGAGAGAAAGTTGAAACCTTTATTGACAACAATGAGCTTAAAAAAGGAGATGAGATCTCTCCAACACTCATCAAAGCCATTGAGGATTCCCATGTATCTATTCTCATCTTCTCAGAAAACTATGCTTCCTCAAAGTGGTGCTTGAATGAGCTCAAAAAGATTCTAGAATGCAAGAGATATAAGGAGCAGATTGTCATACCTGTTTTTTTCAACATAGATCCGTCACACGTGAGGAACCAGACTGGGAGTTACAAGGAAGCCTTTGAAAAACATAAGCGAGAGTTGAAGGACAATTATGACAGGTTGAAGATATGGAAAGCTGCTCTCACTGAGGCAGCTAGTTTAGTTGGTTGGGACTTTCAAAATTACAGGTAAACAAAAGGAACTATCTAGCTTTTTACATATCATGATTTGTATTTTTCAAAAATTATATGTAAACTCCATAAACTACCTCATATCATGTTAGTTTATATCACTGATATATTTTAAAATTAGTTCTATGACATGACATAATGATAGTTTTTAAAAGAAAATATATAAGAAGATGGATGCTATCCCCTTAAATTGAGTTTTTGTTTCCATTTTTCTCTATTGAGCTATTGCCCCTATGTTGACCATAGATGTTATATATTTTTCTTCTGTTGGATTTGTTAGAATTGTAAAACCTTCTTCCCCTCTTTCATATGCTAGGACTGAATCAGACTTCATTAAGGACATTGTCAAAGATGTTTTGCAGAAACTGAATCGTAAGTACCAATATGAAACTAAGGGGCTTGTTGGATTTGAGAAGACTTATGAACAAATTGAATCAATGCTGAAAATTGGGTCAAATGAAGTTATAGTCCTTGGAATATGGGGCATGGGTGGCATAGGAAAGACAACCCTTGCTAAGGCTTTATTTGCCAAACTGCGTTCCCAATTCGAAGGTTGTTGCTTCCTCAATGTAAAGGATGAGTCAAACAAGTATGGACTTGATGTTGTATACTCCAAATTTTTTTCTACATTGTTAGAGGAAGAAAATCTTCATCCTGGTGCATCCTACATAGAATCCCCTTTTTCCTTGAGAAGGATTGCCCGTAAAAAGGTTTTCACTGTGTTTGGATGACGTGGAAACCTTAGAGCAAATAGAAGATCTTAACCTAAAAATTGATGGGTTGGGACCGGGTAGCAGGGTCATTATTACAACTAGAGACAAGCACATATTTAGTCTGTTCAGTAAATGTGAAATATATGAGGTTAAGGAATTGAACAAACATGATTCTCTTCAGCTACTAAGTTTGACTGTCTTCAGAGAAAAACATCCTGAATTTGGATATGAAGATCTATCAGAAAGTGTAATTGTCTATTGCAAAGGCAATCCTCTGGCTTTAAAACTTATAGGTGCAAATCTCCGTTCAAGAGGCAAAGAAGCATGGGAAAATGAATTGAAAAAGCTAGAAAAGGTTCCCAATAAGAAAATTTACGATGTGTTAAAATTGAGTTACGATGACTTAGATCGTTGTCAAAAAGCCATATTTCTAGACATCGCATGCTTTTTGAGAGATGAGAATAAAATATTTTGTAATAGACTTATTGGAAGCTTGTGACTTGTTTGCAGAAAGTGGGATAGAAGTCCTTCTAAATAAGTCTCTCATACAACAAAAACTAACTTGGCTATGGCTTGTCAGTTCGGAAGTTGATGCTTTAGAAATGCATGATTTGTTACAAGAAATGGACGGGATATTGTTAATCAAGAATCTAAAGATCCAGGAAAACGAAGTCGATTGTGGAAAGCTGAAGAAATATGTGATATATTGAAAAAAAACAAGGTAAGTAGACAATGCAATTACTTCTATATGAAAACACATGTATGTCCTTATGAAATATAACAAGCAAAGTATATATGGCAACCTTTCCTAATTATTAATCTATTTTTTGTTTGTTAGGGAACTGAAGTGGTGGAGTGTATATCATTTGATAGTACAGAAGTTGGGCATCTTTGCTAAAGTCAAATTCCTTTAGAAGGATGGAAAACTTAAGATATCTTAAAATCTATAATGCATCTGACCGAAGCACATGCAATGTGTACTTACCCGATGGTCTCGAGTGGATTTCTGATAAATTGAGGTACCTTCGATGGGATGCTTACTGCCTTGAGTCTTTGCCAACAACCTTTTGTGCTGAAATGCTTATAGAGCTCACCTGACTCATAGCAAGCTTACAAAACTATGGGATGGAGTTCAGGTACAAACGTGTTTTGATATACTTTTTAATTTGTAGAGGTACAGCCATAAACTTTGGTGCTCATTCACAAAATTGCGCCAAAGCTAGAATGACATGCTTCTATTTTTATGTTTAATTAGGTTTAGTTTCTCTTTTAATCAATACTCATGCATGATTATTAACTTAATGGTTTATCTGCAATGCCATGTTTATTTCTTGTTACAGAACCTTGTGAATTTAAAGTTAATTGTGCTTAGTTACTCCAAAGATCTCATTGATATCCCAGACTTATCTAGGGCTACTAATCTGGAAAGGGTGTATCTCTATAAATGTAAAAGCCTGCGTCAGTTCCATCCATCAATCTTATCTCATTGTTACCTTACAAATCTAGATTTACGAGGTTGCAGAAAGATTGAAAGCCTTAAAATAGACATTCATTTAAAATCGCTCCGTAATCTCTTACTTCATGGTTGTTTCATCTCTCACGGAGTTTTCGGTGTCATCGGAGGAAATGAGAAATTTGGACTTACACGGCACTGCTATACATGAATTGTCTTCATCGATTTGGCGTAATACCAAGCTTACTACTCTTGACCTAACTGATTGTAACAAGCTTAACATTGTTGGTAGTATGTTATCAAATGATCATGGACTGGGGTCTGTTACAGAACTAGACCTTTCTGGGTGCACAGAAATTGATGCATTAAATCTGCAGTTCATCCTTGATGGCATAAGGTCTTTAAATCGACTAAAAATGAGATGAGTGTTGTAACATAGAAGGTCTCCCTGAGAACATCAAAAATCATACATGGCTGAACTGGCTTGATTTAAATGATTGCAGGAAACTTGTGTCTGTAGCAGAGCTTCCGCCGTCCCTGCTATATTTGAAAGCCCT